CTTTGGCACCGTTCAGAACTACTCCTTCTACATTCTCTGCATGCTTTGAGCACATAACAATTGCTAGGCTCAGAGGGTTGTGATCACCCATACAAAGTCCACCTGGAGGCTACTCACTAGGGGTGTACCCCAGGGATCATTACTGTGTTCAGCACTGTTTAACATCTTCATTAATGACCTGGATGAAGGGACAGAGTGCACCTCACATGCTCTCAGATGACACAAAACTGGGAAGAGTTGCTGAGACACCAGAGGGCTGTGCTGCCATTCAGAGGGACCTCGATAGGCTGGAGAAACGGGCAGAGGGGCTCATGAAGTTCAATAAAGGGAAGCGCAAAGTCCTGCACCTGGGGAGGAATAACCCCATGCACCAGTACAGGCTGGGGGCTGACCTGGAAAGCAGCTTTGCAGAGAAGGACCTCGGGGTCCTGGCGGACAACAAGTTGACCACGAGCTGGCAATGCATCCTTGCAGCATAGAAGGCCAATGGTATTCTAGTCTGCATTAGGAAGAGTATTGCCAGCAGGCTGAGGGAGGTGATCTTCTCCCTCTACTCGGAACCAGTGAGGCCACATCTGGAATGCTGTATCCAGCACTGGGATCCCCAGTACAAGAGAGACATGGAGTTACTGGAACGAGTCCAGTGAACAATAATTTAGGGACTGGAGCATCTCTCATACAAGGAGAGGCTGAAAGAGCTGGGACTGTTCGGCCTGGAGAAGAGAAGACAGAGGGGAGGATCTTAGTAATGTGTATAAATGTGTAGAGGGGGAAGAGCAGAGAAGATGGAGCCAGACTCTTCAGTGCTGCCCAGTGACAGGACAAGAGGCAATGGCAACAAACTGAAACACAGAAAATTCCACCAGAAGACAATAAAACACTTCTTTATGTGACAGCTGGTCAAATATTGTAACTGTGCACTGCTCAGTGCACTGAGAAATATTCCTCCAACAGCTCCAGCTCTGCAAACTAGCTGTAGCACTTCCATAGTCCCGTTGGCAGGACAGTAGCTCATGGTGCTACCCAAATGCCTAAGCTGGCAACCACTGGCAAGCCTTCAGAAGATTTCTTGGACAGAATCCTCTCCAGGGGTACCAGCTGAACAACTTGCACCAATCTAATACTTAACTACCACCTGGCTATAGTGCCTTTCTTTGAGTTTCACACTGATGCTCTTCTATGATATCCCCCATGAAATACTAATGCTCAGAAGCACAAAAGACTGACATCTGAACAGCCTGCCCTGGCCTCATATGTTTAGCTGTCCACGAGAAGAATAAAACTACACATCCTCGTTGGCTGCTCTCTACCATGCTGGGACCTCTCAAAGAAGTCTCAAGAAGGAAGGGGAACATGACCATATAACCAGCAGCCACATTCACCTGCCACTCAGTCTAGATGCATCCAAAGAGACTTCAGTGTAGCAACATTCTTTGTAACCACAGCTTAATTTTGGGGTATCTGCTTGCCAGAATGGAATGCACCTCTTGAACTTCAGTTCACAGTCTCCCTATACAATCCCTGAGCGAGTAGGGTACCTAACCAAAACAAGAATTTGCTGTCCAAAACATACTGCTGGACTTATGCAGCTACATTATTCCTTTGGCAACAGCTGAGCGATAGCTGACTTTTACAGACAGATGCAGTGAGTTGCAAAGGAGCTGACTCTTTTAAAATGTAGTAACCCAGATGGGAGAACCCCAAGAAGTGGTCCAAGGCAGAAGAGCACGCTCTACCACCAAGCTGTATGCAGACTAGGGAGGAGGCATGAAGGCAAGCCCCATCTTTTGAAGTTATGTTGTTGCTGAGGAAGAAAGAAGGGATAAGATGCTCTAGCCCAACATGAAGACTGCCAGATGGATGGTAATGGGAGGAGTCCTATATACTAATACTCACAACAGCTTAATTAATTTTTGCAATAAACAGTCGCTAAATAATGCAGAGAAACAGTATCGTGACCAAAGGCAAAGGAATTCAAGTCTTCCTCCTCCCTGCCCATTGTGTGCCTTCACCACTGGTCCTATCAGTCTCCTCTGCTACAATACAATGTGACAGTTTCATCTGGAAAGAGAGACAGTTACCTCAGCCCTGCTTCCAGCTAGCAGTTCTTTGTGTCCCACGAGCTAAGGAGTGGTTTGGAACTATTAAGGAAAACACAAGAAATGACGGAAGCACATGTTATTTTCTTGTGACAGGATTTGTGATTTCTTTGCTCCATAGGCGACTAGGTGTGCTGAAAACACATCTTTTAGATCAGATTCCCTGGAAACGTAAGAGTAGAGACATCTAGTCTGAGCCTGCAGTGGGTATAGAAACAAGGCAAGGCTGAATATCTGAATACTTGTCAAGATCGTTGTAATTCTGGGCCCAGCCTGGAACAGCACAGCAGGTACCTACACTGAAACTAACATCAAAGTTGTCCTTTTGATGGTCCTAAGCTTACTTTAACATCCTTGGCAGAACTGGCATAGCAAGTTTACGAGCTCACAGTATCTCAAATCTCTGGGGAAATACATGGCAACATTCAATATAGGTTGAAGTTTGCTAAGTCCTGAAGGCTTTCCACCCAGGTACGTCACATGGCTGAAATTCACAGGACTGCTTTGACACGAGCTGCTTACAGGCTGCAAATAACTGCAGTCTTGCAGCAGTTAACCTTGCCTTCACATCCCAGAAGGCCCTAACCTCTTTATGAGTCTCTGCTCTCCTTCAGGGTTACTGAGGAGCAATGCCAGAGCCATTCTGTCACCTTTACGCCAGCAAGACACCACTTAGTGAAAAATATTCTCCAGCATGCAGATCCAGAGTCTCAGAAGCGCCTGACCACTAAACAGGGGCCACAAGAGAGTAGGGAATTAACTTTTCATCAACTTTCAGGAGGACACTAGCAATTAATATATTTATATACTTTCCAAAGCCTATACACAAGAAGAAAGGTGGCACACCAAACTTACTATGAAACCACTCCATGATACAATTAGCTTTTTTTTTTCCCCACTGGGGAATCTCAAGGGTACCACAGGTCAGACCTGCAGGGGATCTGACAGAACCACAGGGGACTACCTGTGTGCATATGTTATCTGGCTTGTACTGTCACAGTTTCTTACTGTCCTATGCAATAAACACAGGAAAAATATCACTCAAATCTCTCCCCCTTTACTTCTACTGCACAAGAGCAAGAAGAAAAATATTTCTGAGAACACTGTAGCAGAGATCAAAAGCCTTTTTCTACTGACTCTGACCTAGTTCTTTCATTCTCACTAGAAGGAAAAAAAACACTTAAAGGAACATTGTCAAAACTGTTAGGTCTAAAAATAGACCTGCCTTGGCAGTGCTCCCATCTAAATGGGCTCATATTAAGGAGTGCAAAGGGCTGGTCAGGCAATGGATTTTGGCTTCGGCCAGGAACTGCCATGCTCCATGATCTGTGGTTCCCTCGTGCTCCAGGGACCCTGCCAGGGATCAGTCGAACCCCAGAGTCAGCCACTTGCGAGTCTGAGCATAAAGGCAGTTGGCCCAGCCACCCAAAAACCTAGTGTCGCTCCACGGAAAAGGGCTGAAGACCCACGGAGCTCACCCTAGCCAGGCTCCCAGTTGAATACCGCAGAGACTGGAAGGCTGGACAACCTCAGCTTGAGTCAGACTTTTCTAGGCTTTCCGCATTTCCAAGCTCCCGGATCTGACATACAGCAGGGCATGTTCTCAAGATCCCAAACACAAAACCAGGAAAACATTTTTCCAATGAAAGCAAACAAACCAAACAACTGAAGAAAAGCAGTCTGTGTTTCCTAAGTCCAAAACGTTTCAAGATCAGCAAACTGGAGTTTTTCTGCAAAACTGTCACCACCACGTTAGAAAACTCCACGGCAACTTTACTTTTGCCTAGTTCTCACAGAGCATGACCCACATACTGCGAAGAACAGTGCAGTGAGGGACAAGGAACCTCTCAGCTTCCCAAACAGAAGCTATAATGCCATGTGTTACCTGCCAAAGGCACATTTCATGAAAAGAACATGGCCCACACCCATTACTCTGATACTGTGAAGAATGCATTAAGATAAAAGCATGCTTTTAACCCCGTCACATAAAGAATCATGTCCCAACAGAAAATTATGCATAAGAACAGGCCTTATAGGTGCACACAAAGTAGTCACAGCCACACAACTACTTTTCCTGCAGAAGTAAGTAGTCATCTTGCTGTGCTAGTGAGGGGAATAGAATTACATAGCAGTAAGACGGCAGGAAATTCATGGGAGAAAAACTAAAATGGGGGGAAAAGGGAAAATACAGAGAAGAGGGCCTATTTTCAGACACTGCAACAGGGACGCATCCTGGCAGAAGAATACAGAAAGACGAGGTTAAAGAAGAAAAAAAAGCCCCATATCCTCTGAGGGAGAAGCACTGCTTCCCAAAGCTTTAGCAAAGCTTTCCTTCATTAATATTTACAAAGCTTTTAGAGATTCTCAGATGGAAGGCACTGCAGATACGACAGAAATTATTACATACCCGAAAGGATCTAGCAAACAGACTGAGTAGGACTTCAAGTGAATAAAGGCAGCACACTAACATAGGGGTTGCTGCTGGCATATGAACCATCTGGTGCATGGCAGTCCATTTCATTTACTTTCCCACTACCAGGCATGCATGCCCTGTTCACATTGCTCAGTCTTTTGCTACCAAAAAAGCAGCACTTGTTTTCAGGACCACTAGCTTCTTTCTATGTATCATTACAGTCTTCAAGATGCTATTCAGTAAAGTGGTCTGTGCATAAGGAAACTGTTGGACTCATGAAAAGGCTTAAGGTTTGGGATGGACAACTTTGGATGTACATAGACACCTTTTAAGAAATAACTAGTGTTTTTTTTTTTTTTTTTAAGAAAAAAGTAGTGTATTTATTTACCCTAGTTTGAGTTTGCCTATGAAGTTGTTTTTCAGGGGTGCTGAGCTGTCCATTGGCTTCAGTATCCACAGTTTTTAGGATACTCCAATGTGCAGCTCACCTTTGGGTTCCCAGCAAAATAACTCCAGCATGATTTTCAGTGGTCTCACGTGGAACTATAGATCTCACCACTTCTGCGAAACAAAGC